ATGACATCTGTAGCTCTTCCCATGTCCACAGTTGCTATATGTAGTAGGACAGACCTGTATAGTAGGGCATGGTCTGGACAGAATGGCTACAGCTTTCTTCAAATGTTTTCTATTCCTTGACCACGGACAGGTGCGCAGATGTTAGCAGAATGAGCAATGCAGTTAGGTAGCATGGAAGGCATAGAACACAATCTGTCTGAACAGAAACTTTCACTTCTTTAGAAAGAGGAGTTACTAAGAATTCAGGGAAAATTACTCCCTATTTTGCCTTTGTTTTTAAGATTAAATTATTATAGAAAAAGAGCACAGTAACTCCTATCATCAGTTTACCTTCCTGCAAAGGGAACTTTCTTGCAGTTTTCCTCCAGTATTGAGACAGATGCAGCTCTGTTTAGAAATGTACCTTGCAGCCATATTTAGGCATAAATAAATAAATTCTTGTTCAGCTGGAATGATCTAATTCGCTGTTGGGATACTGAATTGTTTGATCAGACAAGGAAAAAATTGAATAAAATCTGTAATAACAGATGCTGGAACCTTTCAAATATGAAAGCTGTAAACTGAAAAACTTCCTCATAATACAGATGTTAACTATTCATATCACTGGGAAACTAATCCAATAGTCCCCAAAGGAGCCCAGGATGATAGAAGAACTGTGCACAAACTAGTGTATCTCACTAATATAGATCAGCGGAACCTGACAGACCAATACATTACTCTGAAAATAGATTCGTATTATTAATAATTTCCCTATTAAGTTTGTTCTTCCATACCTGCTGCATCCATTTGCTTTGCACTACAATAAAAGCTTGTGAGGCATTCTTCTGTGAGACAGCTTCTGTTTTGGGTGTAGAAAGATTACTGCTACTTAGATCAACAATACAAGCACAGAATAGCCTGATTTTTTTTTTTTTTTTAAGCCCTTTTAGTTTGAATGAAAATAGGATGTCTGTCTCAGCTTTTCTGTTTTTTTTTCTTGTTTCATTATAAGCAGATTGCCTGGCTCTCATCTTCTACCTATGGTTGTCTGGGTGCACTAAAATCTTGTCCCTACCACTTCTGTAACTCTCATGCATCGTCCCTTGTAGAGAAAGCTGTATTAGTGCTAAAGGCAGTATCTGCTTTCCAAATGTCTTAGCTCGTACAGACAAGAATTTATCTGGGAGTATTGGGAACTGTCTGTTCCAACTCTGTAATTATTTGACAAAGGTGGACGAGCTGTAGCTCGGTTAAGCCAAGGCCTACAGATGTGACTCAGCCTTTTGACTGTAGCTTGCTGCTGGCTGTTCAGTGCAGACCGATTAGTGGGGCAGCCGTGCAATTTGAACACTGGCAGCCTTCACAGAGAGGAAGCTAATCACTGGTAAAGAGCTTTACATCAGAAACAACGGTATGAAAAGCCTTAATTACATGAACATCCCAGTTCCTTGGAATGCCAGACAAATCTTTTTGCTTGCAATTGTAAATAGTCTGTTCCCAAGAAATATGACTTAAATACAACAAAACTATTTTGTGTTCTAGGACAAGGTGGAAGCTGCCCTAAGTGACTGCAGCAAAGGTATGACTTTCTTTTTTCCTGTGTGCTGCTCTTGTGCCAGATCTTTCATACAAAAATTATGCCCGTTGGTGCCTTACTGCAGAGCTGTAATTTTGGGCATAAGGGTCTTTAAGGAATTTATAGAAAAACTGTGGTGGAAGAATCTAGAATTATTTATATTATTTATTTTGTAAAATGTCTATCAAACTTTTCCTGTCTGTAATAATTTACTTTCTATTCTCTTGTGCCAATAAGGCTGCTATTTGTACTTTTTTAACAGGAAAGTCTGTGCTGTTTCCTTACACCTACTATTTTAAACCGACTTCCACCTGCCATTCCCCCCTCCCCCCCAAATCTTGGTTTAATCCCAGATTCCAAAGAACTGTGAGGCCTTATAGAGTTAAAAGCATTATCAAGTCCCTTTTATGCAAGGCTTTTGCTTTGTCACAAGAGCTTATGCTCTCCCGTTCTTGTCCTGCATATTTTTCTCTCTGCAACTTCTGGTGAAATCATTTCAGCTGTGCATTGCTTTATTGCTTCCACCCACTCACCCATGCTCAAATATTTGTTAAACTCCCCATGATAGCTGGGGAAAAAAGTCCAAATTGCCAATCAGAAAACTAATCCAATGGCTGTGTGCCAGTACTGCTTGTACAGTAAATACGAATTTGTACATGCTAAAAGTATTCTTGAAGGTAACAAATTCTAGCTGGCCTCTGTCACTGTGGGGGTTTGCCTTGTTTTGGTGATGCATTTTGAAAAACATTTCTGCTAATTTTGTAGTGGCTGAAAGGGAATCGGTCTGCTTTGCAGCAGTGAGACTTAAACCTACCATTGCTTGACATTCCCCAGGGACTGGCTTACAAACTGCAGTGCAACAGTTAGAGCACAGCAGAGCAATTCACACTAACCTGCAACTTGCTGACTGTAGCATTGTCTTTGTCCTTCCAGAAGAAATAAGCTAGAATATTTAACTAGATGATCCTAGATTTAATTGTCCTGAGAAGCATTTTAATGGGTTAGTAATTATAGAATGGGCAGTCTTTCATACTCCCTCTTTCTATGATGAAAAATGGATGAAGAAATTCTTGAGAAATTACCATTTGCAGGTTACTGCTAAGTTTAGCATTCAGTCTTAACTGCATCTGTAAACACGGTCGTGGCTACCAAGGGAATAAGGAGAGGAAAAGCTTAAATTCAGTCAGTATGCCTCTCTGCTAACTTGTAGAGCTAATATAACCGCTTGTGGATTCCCAACCCAATTTTGACTGTTTGATATTAAATTCAGAACACCACCAGTAGTTCTCCTGGAGTTTGTCTCAACTTGAACTGAGATAAGCAGGGAAATGCTTATTTTCCCTGCTATGTGTATCTTTAGGTATATTTAACTTTAGCTGTAATCTAATAATATACACTTATTAAATATACAAAAGCTGAAAAAAATCTTACAGGTCCTTCTAAGCATCACTTAGAATCTCTACATACATAGTATTGCAAAATTAAATGTTAGTGCATTATAAATCACTTCTATCTGTGATAGATTTTAGTCATTAAATGAAATATGATCATTTGCATTAGATTTTCATAGGCAGATGTATGCCTTTCTGAATTATGACTTAGCTTTTAAACTGTGACTCAGCTTGATTCTAAGCTACATTATAAAGATAACTATTAAGAATTTAATACACACTTAAGAATTCATTGGAGGGGTGTAGAAATGTTTCAAGTAAAATACTGTGCTTTGTTTTTGTTTTCTAGCAGTGGAATTAGATCCTAACTATATTAGAGCTTTGCTGAGGAGAGCAGAACTGTATGAAAAAACAGAAAAACTAGATGAAGCTCTGGAAGATTATAAGGCAGTCCTAGAAAAAGACCCATCAGTTCATCAAGCCAGAGAAGCTTGCATGGTAAGCCTTTTTAGTATACTTTGGCCTAACTTTAAACTAAGGTCTTTTCTTTCCTATTCTAAATATTTAATGCTGTTTATGCAAGCAGCTTCATATGCGGTGGTTATAACTTTTTTTTTTGAGTCTGAAAGTGTAGTGGTTTTCTCATCTGATTTTACGTAAGAAAGATTACATGAACTGCCACAACTTCCATGACAAGTCTGAGGTCCGTAAAGCATAGTCCTCTTTTTACCTTTGTAAAATGAGTGAAAGTAAATGTGTTCTGAGCTGTAAGCACGTAATTACATGTTTAGCTGTTGAATAGCGCGCGCGCGTGCGCACACACTTCATTCTAGTTTTCTGATTGAGGTTGTGAATTGTATTTATGCATGTGCAAGAAAAGGTTGCCTGAACCACTGCTGCATTTTAGTAGCCATCATTTCAATACGGATCTGCAATTTGGAGATCATAATACAAGCATCCTATAATACAGTTCTTGCTAGCTGTTTAATTAGTGGGAGTCTGGTTTTCTTTCAGTAGAATTATTTTTCTGATTGGTAAATTTGCAGTCGAATGCCTTTATGGCATAATTATAAAATAATTACTTTTTTTGATGACTTGATTATATAACTTTGAGAGTGGCAAAGAGACAGGATTCTATCCGTCTGTACCTATGTTTGTGTCTACTTTAAAATGTTGATGTTTTTGTTTCTTGATTTAGCTGTTTTCTGTTCTTGTTCTTTGCTATGCCTTGTGTGCATATTGGCCACTTTGAGTTATTTTACTAATAGTGACTGAAGTCTCCTATTAATCTTCAAAAATTTAGCTTTTCACTTGAAGAAAAAGGCACCTGTTGCAAACAGCACCCTGTCCTGATTCAGTTACTTTCTTTGTCCTAAACAAAAAAAAAAAAAAAAAAAATCTGCAACTTAGTACTCGGTTCCAGCGTCCACTTTCAATCAAATTACAAATACTTCAGGATTAAACATTTCTTGCAGAATCTTTGCCATATGTCCGTAAGTGTAAGGAAATGCTTTAAAAGTTTCCTTGGCCTTTAGGATGTGTCAGCTTGGGTGAAAAAACGTAAACCCCTAGCACTTCCTGACTAACACATAAATAATCCCTACACAATGGGGATTTAAAGTCACTGCCACAGCCTGCTGATGTGAGGTTTTAAGTAACTCTTTGCGTAAAATACCAGCAGGAAGTGATTTTTCTAGTGATATTTACTATGTTAATGCTCAGTGTGGAAAATAGCTGTGGATTTGACAAGTTCAGAGGGTCTTTTCACAAGGGTAGCAGGAAGGGAAATTTATTTTGTGCAGAAAGCTCCTCTTACAGGCTGCTTGCTGCTCTTATTTTTGAAAAGAGGTTATGAAGACTGTGTTGAAAGGACAAATGCGGTAGAGATGTGGCCAGGCAGCCTGTAGTTTTGAAGGAACATGGGCTAATGAAAGGTAGCCACTATAAAAAGTATAGTGGTGGTCACTTTTTATCAAAGTGGGAGCTTCATGTCATGGTAGGTGAATGGTTTGCAAGCACCAGAGAGCCTGGAAAGAGCTGATCATCTTCTGCAGGGAAAACAACAGCCAAACTATTCTTTACTTCCATTTTAAGGTAAATGGATGCAGTTTTAAAACGTAATTCTTAGTTGGGCACCCAAATCCATATGCCAATACTTGACATTCTTTATAGCTGGTTAAATTTTCAAAGGGCATCATTATTTTAGTTCAGCTTCACATCAGTGAACCTGAACATATTCTGCCCCATAAAGAAAAAAAAAAAATCATTTGCTTCACCCACAAAATTATCTCTAAAACCACTTTGAATATGGCACTGCAGAAATATTCTTGAAAGGCTTAGGTTTAACTGTTTTAACTCTCCATTTGGGAAAATAAATCATTAGTAGTGATTTCCCCCTCCCCCCTTCCCCATACTATGGTGTTGTAAGTGACAGATTAGAAACTGCTTTTATAGCATATTAGACAAGAAGCCTTGCCTGAAATTACTTCCTTTGGGATTGGATCAGTTGCACTGATGGCAGAAAAATATTCTGCTTAACTGTGTAACTCCTGTAAGGGTATGGTTTCACAAAACAGCGAAACTGATCTACTAACTGCCTGCTGCTTGCAAAGCTGTCCAGTTGTGCTAGGCTGGTACTAGCTCATGTCTGACCCTAGGGGGTGGCTGGTTCTATATATGAGTCTGGCAGACAACTGACTCTGCTAAAGGGAAAAACAGCAACAAGCGAGCAAAAAAAGCCAGCAACCAAAAAGCCCCAAAGTAAATACTTTTATATTGCCTTGGCTTTTTGCAGTCAGACAAGTCCTACTGCAAATGCTAGTGAGAAGGAGAGAAGACGTGGTCAAGGCAGTGCAGGAATTGGGGCCATCCCTTTTGGCAGCACCCACTGACAAGGCCAGTTTACTGTACTGTGAAACAACCCCCTGATGCTTGTTGCATGCATCTGGTTGAGAGCAGGAGAGCACTTTATCACCTAGCTCTTGGCAATGGCTTAATAAATGACAAGCTTGTCAAACATCATTACTGCACGGGTAGTGAATATGATGGGTCCATCACAGTCTAGAAAAGAGTATTTGTGTTGGCCTTGTTTATAGTCTCCTAGCTGAGACTATGGCTTATTTGACCCAGGAATTCAGCCAAGGAGTCTGCTGACATTTCTAAAGGAAACGGGGTTTAGTTTCTGTAGCTTGTAGTCTTTTAGCATTAGACTAGCTCCAGAGTGAGGCCTAGTGTAATCTAGCCAGTTACTTGGTAAAATAGTATTAGTGTATAAGGAGTGTGTTTTAGCAGCTCATCATACAAAGAACAACTATGAAGATTAGACAGATTGTTATGAACACCAGTCAGGACTCCACAGATTAAGATTTGGGAACACTGTCAGTAGTTGGTACAAAATGTAAGGAGTTTTAAAATACATATATTTTGGCTCACTGGTACCCCCTGAAAGTATAGATACTGTCCTTTATACCTTTTGCAAAACCACAATTTTCTTTCAGTAAGTATGCCTCTAATAATCTCACAAAAGAGCCCTTGCTCAGTAACCAGTGGAGATTTGGGCTAGAAGAGAATCATAAACAGTGCTGATGTTCCTCCTGGACATCTTTCAGGAATGTTTTAGAACTATCAGTAACTTATTCTTAATTTTTGTAGCTGGGAAGTACAGAGTTGACTGTTTTGTATACCTTCTGCTCCTTGACCTCATTTTACTAGGCAGAGGCTTTAGGCTCACATGTGGTGCAGAACACTTTGTACAAAATGCCCTCAATTTATAGAGCAGTGGGATTTAGGACATTCTGCCCTGAGTTCATCCTGTTCTTTGTCAAGTTTCAGGGTAGAAGCAATGTTTTGAGACTGAAGCTTAAAACTCCCTTCTTGAAAAATTGTTAAGGAAATACTGACAGCTAGTTTTACACTTTTTAAAATATTCAAATAAATCTCTAAATTTCATAATAAAAAACCAATTCCAGCAGTAATGTTGACTCCACATATGTGGTTAACACATCTAATATGTAGGAGACCAAGAAGCTTTGCTTTATTGTAAGGTAAAATGCATTGCTCTTTGCAGAAATGTCGCATTTTTTCCCCCTCACTGGTAATGAAAATGAGAGAATCTGCCAATTAGCTTCATTCACTGTTAGAGCAAATCTTTCTTCTTCCTGTACATAGAAAATATTTCACATGCTGCTTTAGGGAATGTCATGATCTTGTTAAATGACAGTTTAAAAATATTAAATACACAGTAGTTCTTTGCTTTGATTCCTGATTTGGTAGCTGCTCTAAAATTTCAGTACTGTTTGTATTTCAGGTGTAAGTGCTAGTGTTTTGATTTAAATCCTAGTGTCGCACACTTTAGTTACTTTTGACATCTTCAATGCCAAATTAAACAATTTGAAATTACAATGTTTTTGTAATTGATGCTTTCCCAGAAAGTGTTTAATTATATGGTATCAATCTTTAGGTTTTGTTTTTAGCAGGTGTGTAACAGTGTTGTGTAAATTTTAGCTTCAACATAGTTTTTGAGGGATTGGCAGGCCAGATATACTTATTTACCAAAATGACATAAGTATCAGAGACACCAAATAAATAGCTGTCCTTACAGATACCTTTCTATAGATAACTAACCTTGCAAATACATTTCTGGAGTGAGAAATGCTGAGTCTTTGGAATAGTAGTATTCAGACAGACAAAACATGGAGTATGTATTTCAGATCAAGGATTTGTCTTTGTTTCCTGCTAAAGCCTGATGTCCAAATGTGAGACACACACACTCTCATATTGGCATATATGCCAAACTCATCCAAGATTCAGCAAATCTCACACCACAATGCAAACTGAATTTAGAGCCTGGGGATATCCACACATGTGTTCATGCAGGCAGCTTAGGTCCAGATCTCCACCCAACTTAATAAGCCCCTCTGGGTCAGCAGGAGTCAGATGAGGTCTGGCTGGGCTAATTAGATCTGGCTCACTGGTGGTGATGCTGGGCCTGGGCTGGTTTCAATCTTAGCTATCCATATATATCTGCACTGTATTCCTTAGTACTTGTTTTTCTGGGTTTTTTTCTGGGATATACCACCTCTCTTTCCCATCACTATAGAAAATGAATTGTATTTGCCTGTGTTCACCAGTGTATCCTGCATTGAAGAGGAGAGGAGTAGTCAGGCAGCCTTGTCAATGGGCTTTTTCTTGAGATGAATGTCTTATTTCACTGTAGCAATGATATCAGGATGACAAATCTATCCATGACGATTGGCGCTGTAAATGACAGGAAGAACAAGATTAGGAAATGAATTCTTTAACTGTGTTGAGAAGCCAATTACCACAAGGAAAGTGTATCAGGAGTGAATTCCACACCTGTTACCATAGTCTGCAACTGTAATTAATTTACTGATAGCACCATTACAGCAGATCTGTCTTATTTGCTATGACCTCCACAAGAAGAGACAGCATAGTTATGCATATAATTGCATGCAGAACTGCCAGAATTATACAGTCATAAGAATAGTATAAAAGCCTGAAATAGTACTTCTGAAAAATATGAAAAAGATGTATAAAAAGTGACTGTAATTCGTAATATATTTTAATACTGTGTTTAACTGATGTACAGAAAATGCAAAATTTAAATGATACAATGGTAAATTTAGTTGTAGTGAATATAAAATTCTAATTAAAAATTATTATTACAGTGATACAGCAAAACGCCAGTACTGGATGGAAGATGAGTCACAGCTGTTCTAGGCATAAATGGGAATCTCAAATCATTAAGAATGCGTAGACCATGCAGTTACATAATGCTCATTAGAAACATGTGATAAGTTTGTTTGTGATGGTGCAACAGATTTTAACACTGGTGCCATTTCTGAGGAGGGAAAAAGCACATTAGTGAACTGTTACTTGCTCAGGATGAACTGTTGGAGTTCCCTCCCCAAGATCAATTGTCAAATCGAGGCCCTCATTTGTAATGCTCTGTCCTCCTTAGAACTATGCCATATATTGCATAATAAGATGTTGCTTGTTAAACTATGTCCTGAAGTTCATAAACAGTTCATTCATTTATCATTTATGAATGATAAAATATATGTATTTAGAAAACATTAGTGTTTTCACAGTGCAGATTTCCCTGAAGTGTGATGCCACTGAGAGCTGACTTCATGGATGTTTTCCTCATTACACCTGTGTTTATGTTCAGAAGTCATGTGCTTGCTTAGTTCCTCTAGCCTCTTACCAAATTTAATGCATGCAGCAGAGGATATAGTGCTAAAATATACTTTAATTGTAAGTGTCTTAAATTCCATAAGCTTTTCAGTTAAAATCCCGAGCAAACAGATCAGATCTGTTTTTCAGCGGTAAAAATGTATGCCTGTATGAAACCTGCACTTACAAGTTAGGACTTACTGTTTATGTGAACTGATGTCATAGAATGAATTACAGGTTTCCAAAATAAGATGAAAGTGTGGTTTGTCATAAGGATTCCTTTTAAGCCATAAGCAGTGTATCCTCGGTATGTGTATTAAAATTCCATAACCTACGTTATTATTGAAAGCATGGGTCTGATTCCAATTTTTATCTCTCTCCACAGCGATTACCTAGACAAATTGAAGAGCGGAATGAAAAATTAAAGAAAGAAATGTTAGGTAAGTAGCATGTACATATAACTTGCATAATAATCTTCATAGTTTACTAGAAAAATAAAAATGCACGAGTAGAATCTCTTGTATAAAATTTAAAGAAGGTAGATCTTAAAGGAAATACTTGTTCTGTGTTAAACAAAACTCCTGATTTCTTTGTAGTTCTCTATTGCTTGGTTTCACCTACAGTAAGTTCTAGCCAACTTACATACAGAAAAGGCTATTGGCTAAATTTAAAGAAAGAAATACTCAAGACCTTATAAAACAATTTAATACTGATGCATGTAAAAGCAGGGGAAGATGGTTTGAAACAGACCAACTGCTCTGCCCTTTCTCTCTGCAAGTAAACCTTCAAAGGAAACATTCGCATGAAAGGGATAAAACAGGGTTTTCACTAAACCTTTATGTAAAAGAAGTCAACCAGCTGTAATAACTGAGCATGTTTAATCTTGTGTCTGAAGAAATAAATTTGGTTCTTTTTGTAGCACTTCCAACCTATAGACCTCCAAGTCTTCAAGTTTACCTTGATTTATATAGTATTTCAGTTCTGTTTGTGTGGAGGCTGAATTAGACCTACCTAGTGTTACAAACAGGCATCTGGCCTTGCTAGGAGTGGAATTAGATTTCCTAAATGCGTAGCTCATTGTCTTTTGACTTTTTACAATTCTATACCAAAGGGTACTATTGACTCTACTTGTTTGTAGAAAAGAGAATTTAATTAATATAAATTTTTGAATGAGTCACAACAACCCCACACAACGTTACAGGCTTGGGGCAGAGTGGCTGGAAAGCTGCCCAGAAGAAAAGGACCTGGGGGTGTTGGTCAACAGCCGGCTGAACATGAGCCGGCAGTGTGCCCAGGTGGCCAAGAAGGCCAATGGCATCCTGGCCTGTATCAGAAATAGTGTGGCCAGCAGGAGTAGGGAGGTGATCATGCCCCTGTACTCGGCCCTGGTGAGGCCGCACCTCGAATCCTGTGTTCAGTTTTGGGCCCCTCACTACAGGAGGGACATTGAGGTGCTGGAGCGTGTCCAGAGAAGGGCAACAGAGCTGGTGAAGGGTCTGGAGAACAAGTCTTATGAAGAGCGGCTGAGGGAACTGGGGCTGTTTAGCCTGGAGAAGAGGAGGCTCAGGGGAGACCTCATCGCGCTCTACAACTACCTGAAAGGAGGTTGTAGCGAGTTGGGGGTTGGTCTCTTCTCCCAAGTAACCAGCGATAGGACGAGAGGAAATGGCCTCAAGTTGCACCAAGGGAGGTTTAGACTGGACATTAGGAAAAATTTCTTTACTGAAAGAGTGGTCAGGCCTTGGAACAGGCTGCCCAGGGAAGTGGTTGAGTCACCATCCCTGAAGGTATTTAAAAGACGTGTAGACGTGGTGCTTCAGGGACATGGTTTCGTTGTGGACTTGGCAGTGCTAGGTTAATTGTTGGGCTCGATGACCTTCAAGGTCTTTTCCAACCTAAACGATTCTATGATTCTGTGATGTAAGTGTCCCCATCATCATGTTGTATGGTATTGCTTGGGTAATATCTTAATTGGATTGATGTATTTCAAAAGGATAACTACTTAAATAAGATTGCCCAAGCAAGATTGGTTTTCACGTGTAATCTTAAGTATAAAGCACTTCCTTGCACCACTCACAGTGTTATGGTTAAACTAACAGCTTTGGGGGGAACCTTCTGCCCCAAAGACGACTGCTGTCAACATTGTCTACTGTCTCCTAGTTAACAGGGTTTGTTAATTCTTAAAGGTTCAGACACTACATAAGCCAATCTGACATTCTGGTGCTTTTTAAAATGAGTTTTTATTTTTATATAATCTTTTCAATTGTACTGTTTAGAAAATCCACACAAAAGAGCAAGGACAAGTGACAGTGTAAGATAAACTACCTACCTAACCTGTTTCAGAAATAGCTTTCAATAGTTATCTGTTTACTCATTCTAGGTGTCACAAGTAGTAGATGAAATGCTGTTTTAAGATGAGTAGGCTTTGAGGGTTTGGGATGGGAAAGGGGAAGACAGCGTTTTGCGATTCTGCAGAGAATCAGGTTAAATAAACTCAGTCTGTCTTGCATACTGTAACACTAATTCTTAAAATATTTGGGAAGAAGAGACTGTTTGAAGGACTTATGCTAAAGCTGATATTTTTCTTTAATTTTTTTTTCTTGCTGTGCAAGGAGTCTGATTAGCTCTTGCTTTGTACCTGTTTTGACCTAGTAAAGTTGCAGTGAGGCTTTCTAGAGCCTCATCAGATTCTGTTTCTACCACTGTACTTGGAACAAGCCATAAATAAAGAAGGCTAAGTGTGATAGTGCTATAAATAAATGACAAATGCAGAAAACCTCCAGAAGGATCGTGCCCATTTGTAGGACGTGGGATGGATTTCAACACAAAGTAATATGAAGACAATTCCTGATCTTTTTTGAAGTCTCCCTTTGTACCATTGTTACCAATGTCTAAAGGGCCTCACTAATCACAAGGGACTATACTGAAACAATAAATCGACCTTTATAAACTGCCATTACAAACCTAGTTCTATACTGCTAATTTTTGCCTAGATTTCAGACTAAATGTGATCTCTTTAAAAAAGATCTTTAATCCAGTGGCAGTTAGGATTTCAGAACTGAACTGACCTGAACAACTTCTCCAGTTCAGTTGGGAACCAATTCAGGCTGTTTATATTGGGATTCTTGAGAAAGGAATCCCTTCTCAATGACATTACATACATGCAAGGAGATACACTGATGTTTACTGTTGTAAACAGCCAGGAAAACCAGACTAAGAGTGGGGTAGTACAGCGTATAACCCTATGTTCATCCACAACCTTTGCGTGTGACAGGATTCCTATAAATTGTCACATTTATTGTTAAAATTATATGGTGTCAATTGGGCAGGTGGTATTTTATTCTTAGCACTGCCTGTGATCACTAGTGTAATACAAATTGAGGATTTTTTCTGTAATACATTCTTTTAATAGAACACTTAAAATTAAGTTAGGAATACAGGCAGCAACCAGACTAATTTTTGTAAGTGTTATAAAATTTCCTGTATCTTGTCAGTAAGAGAGATAGCAGTGATGTCATGGATCTAACGATGAAGGCCTGGGAAGGAAATACTTGCCAAGGTTTACAAAATGCTGCTGTTCTGTCTGAGGTCAAGGAAAAACCCTTACAATTGAAGAAGGGGGATTAGATGGGAGTTCCGGAAGGAATGAAAGAAGACAAACTTGTTACAGTGTGGTGGTAAAGAGATTTCTTTGGATTGTTTTTGTTATACAATGTATCTGTTTTAAGCTGTTTCAACTTTTCTTTTTCAAAAACATTGTTAATGCTTTTACCAGCTGAGTACTGTGTCAGAATAGACAATTGCTTGTGGTAATCTTAGGAGATTATCTGACTACTGGTTAAACAGTGCCAGGTGTGCAAGGATTCATTTCCCCACCTTCTCACAGGGGAGTCAGCTCAGGTGCTGGGTTGTACCCCAGATTTTTTGGTTCCAGGAGAGCAAGTCAGATGCATCCTAACAGTTCCAGGCTACGCCTGTCCAGGAGCACTGACACTAAACTTAAATTAATCAGCACAAAATCTTTAGAAAGAATGTCTCACTTCATGCTTTGGCTCCTTTGAAGTTTCGATATTGAATTGAATTCATATTTTTAGTCAATGAATCAACCAGTAACATTGTTTTCCTAGGCTTTTATTCTTTCAACTAAAACTAAGTCCTGGTATACCCAACTAACAAACACTGTCATGAAAACTGGAGTTGTGTACAAACAAATCAAAATAAAAGGAGTGCATCTTCCTCCTTCCCCAAGTGTGTTTCCTGTTTTCCAGTGCTACAGCTCATTACCACATAGTTTGTCAGAAGCTGAAACCACTTCTTAAGTGATTGTGTGTAAATAAATCAGAGTACACATTCTTGGCTGGATTTTTCTTCCAGGCTACCTAACTATGAATTCTTGTGTGCAAGTGGTGGTGCACGTGATTGATGAAGTTGATGTCACTAGAAGAAATATGTTTTGTTGCCAAACCAAGTCCATTTCTGCTATGTGATCTGCAAGGGTCTAACTTTTCCAAAGCTGACATTTGTACCTAAATTACGTTCATATTTTGCATTCAGCCTTTGCAGGTTAGTGCTGCCACTTGCCACTGAAGTTTGCTCAGGACGAAATAACCTCTGAGTTTTACATTAATGAAAGCTTAACTTACAGCACACTTTGAAAGTAACTTTTAAATC